GGTGTACGTCCGGAATACATAATTCGCTCGTATCATAATTAAATGATTGTAGGCATTGAATGAATTCAAACATGACGTGAATATGAAATGTCTATAATGTTTATGAGGTAAACGTGAGAATATGAGAACACCCGTCCCGTGTCCCTGGGATTCGTTGATTTCCGATGCGAGGGGGAAAGAAACCACAAACGAAAAAAGTTATTGCCTAAAAAGCAGAAAATAATAACGGTGAAAATACACGTTTTTTGTAGTATTCAATCTTGTTTTTTTTTCCATTCGTCCAATGTTCAAACATTTTTGTATGTTTTTTCGATTAAAGTTAAATTGAATTAACTCGTATTAGACTTATTGGATATAGATTTTTAATGGAACTTACGAGTAAGCCGAACAAATTGTGGAAATAATATTATGATATTGACTGTTTAAATATTTGACAGTTATGTTTTTTTTTTTATATTTTACCATTTTCGTTTAAAAATATAAAAGATTTATTTAGTGATATTCGGTTAACGATATTTATTTTTTCACTATTTTCGTTACAATAAAAAAATAATGGCTTTATGTTATACCTCTATCCGTTCATTAGATTATACCAAGTTATTTTTTCAATTTGTTCACAGTGTTGAATAAAAAACAATAAATAATGGTAAATAAAAATATATAAGAATTAATGAAATTTTGACCATTATCGAATATCGTTTTTCAAATAGAATAACTATCGTGTTTCAATCTAAAATAATAATGTACCTTACCGAGGTGAATGAAGCGAGACCTGTAGTGTCCAATGTAGAAATCTCTTTTTTTTTTTATTATGAACGTTTCAAGGTTGTATCTACTTTGTCGTCGTTGTTGTATTGTTTTGATTTAACTTTATGTTTTAAAATGTGTCTATTAAAATTTCGAAGCATGGATAAGAAAATATAATTTCCTAAGAAAAAAAATGGAATAGTTTAAGAAGTTAATAATTGTATTCTCTAGTTTTATCATTCGAAACACTTAGATTTTAACTTGTTTCAGTTGTTAAAAAAATGAACGATACTAAAGTTGAGGTGGATGCATATACTTAATATTTCGTCTCCTACTACAAAACTATTAGGGACATTTAGTTTATAATTATTGACAGTATATTATTGTTGTAGTATTTTCGTGTCCATCGGCATTATTTTTTAAAACTACTTGAAAGGAGCTCTCATTTTTAACAATGAACTTAAAAGTAAAATAATCTAATGAGTAGTCCTTACATGATCAGTGAAAAGTCAATCGTTTGGTTATAGAAAAATATAGATAGAAAAATAAATAAATTAAAGAAACTATATAAATGATACAAAGTTGGAATGTGCATTACAATACAATAAAATTAAACTTGTATTCTATTAAAAAAACTTTTATTTAAATAACATAAAATATGTTCAAGCTGTATGTGATTGATATTAAAAATGATTTATCTATAGGATCACTTATATGCAAAGATTTATAAATAAAAAATATGAATAGCGATAAATTATTTGGTACATCGATTGATAGGAGAATATAAGTTATCAGACACTGGCGTACAAAATGCGTTTATATTAAAATATTTTTGTCGTTGAAATGAGAGTATTCGACGTGTTTTGTATACCTAACAAATAATGTAGAGTGTAACGGATTGTTGATGTTAAATCATTAAATTTATACTTATCAGTTTTCATTTAAAACACTGGATCTCTATACATTTTTTTTTGTTAAGCTTTATTGGAGTTACTGTATAACTACTGTTTATAGAAAATATATAATATTATGAACTGTGTATTGTTTTGTTTAACATTTAAACATTTGTATTTAAAATTGACTATTATAATACTATGAAAGTTGTAGTATCAGAAAATTTTTTGTAATTGTTCGTTATATGATTACAATCAATTGTCATGAGTATTTTTAATTATTGTATATATTTTTTTCATTTACATCATTCCGTATTTAATTGAAGTCACTCAGAATAATTCGATTCGATTTAAACGATTGTAACGTTAACATTTAAAATCCGTAAACATTTTTCACCCGTTTTCTAAAATCATTTGAAATCTTTTGGAGGTTTCAATTTGCCTAATGGAATTTTACTTATTTTTAAATGAAGCGTTTAGACGTAGGGAATGTTTTATTTTAAAACGTAAACATGATTTCGGCTGAACCAATAACGTTAAGATGTTAGTGAGAACAATATGAGAACACGATCGTATAACATTTCGCATCGCGGAGTTTCCGAAAATGCTAAAATCATTTAGTTTTACGGAATAAAATTATCTCATTTGATAATTTTCATTACAATAAATTTATCCTTATGTGCTAGTTTAGATAAAGTTGAGAAGTACTACGTTTTCAAACTCCATACAAATAATGATAGAAATAAACTTTCTGCGGAAGAGTGAAATGAGTTATCAGTAATAACGTTACGAAACGTATCTCTGGTTATATCTATGTCACGCGATAACGAAATTATACTTTTTAGTACGTTTGTATTAATAAAGTACAAAAGGTATAATATGTATTCATTCAAAGCTCACGGCAGCCTATCTACGAAAAGAATCGGCAAAGTAAAAAACAAATTTCGTAGTAAATATAATATAATACAAACGCGCTCGTAGTTATATATAGGTGAAGGTGTTATAGTGTGTATGTAATATACATTTTTAGTTTCATGAAATACCATTAGCATTTTTTAATGATAACACAGAGAAAAGCGTTAGGGCTCATAATTTTATCAAGAATAATGTTCGATTATTTATTCAGACCACATAGGAAACATTTTGTTCATCCAATATGCTATTGCACGTTCATTATAAACAATTTGTAACTCGTTAACACGCTTATATTTTTTATACTACCGAGAATTAAACTATTTTCGGTATTATTGTAAATAAATGAATATTAAAGTTTTCATCTCCGTGCTCCAGTCTTAAGCAATATGTAAGCAAAATACATAATTAAATAATATTTATAAAAAATTGTAATTAAAATAATAACAATAAAAAGTCACGATTTTAAATTTAAACAAGGGAGAAATGCTGTTTGGTAATTCATTAATTAAGTGTAGTTATTTTAATCTTGATCTCTTTATGAAGTTCATTATAAAACAAAATTTAAATTAAGAAGGTTTACGTATATAAAACATCCTTCGTTCGAGTTTTCAGAATGCCATTAAAGAACTTTTTAAATTAAAATTACGTTTTGAATACATCATAAAAAATGAAATCTAATTTTCTAGCACATTATTATATAAAGTAGGTAATTCAAAAAAATGTAACATAAAGGGCGAATGAAATATCATCATAAAAATAAAATTGTTTACCTTTTATACATTCATATAAAAATCGAATTATTAACTTTATTTCCCGTATAACATTGCTAGGCCATGTATATAATTCGAAAATATATTATTATAAAGTACGTAATATTCATGTGATTGAGTGATTGCATGAAATCTTGTAAATTTCTTACGGTTATATTATATTTGTAGTTGTTTATAGTGCTATAAAACGTAAGTAAGTAAACGTAAGTCACAAGCTATAATGTAATATTATATGGTAGCGTTTTTGGATATCTATAATGTTTTTTTTTGAGACAATTGTTTATGATACGGTCTCGTTCCAAATAGTCACATTGTCAATGAAAATCACGAGCCGAAAAACGCATACACTTTTGCTATTATATACAATCATGTACGCTGTACACTAATTGTAGTGAAATATATTGTATGGTAATAATTGTACAGTTTAAATGTGAAATAGATATGTGTATAATTCGATAAAAGTGTAAAATTCTAATCGAAAACTTCTATAGGCTTTAGTAGGGACCTACGAAATAAAATTGTTGTCGTACAATTCAACAGCCGGCGGCGGTTAACCAGTATTGCGCAACGAAAAACATAAATGTGGTTACTAACGTTGAAGGAGGAAAACGATTGATAATAAACAGTTGAAATGTAATTGGATGGTTAAAAATCCGAGTGCCAAATGTTTGAACCGCGGGCTTTACGATCTAATAACCGGCGAGGGGGAATTATTCTTCTGCTTTAAGTAGTAAACGACCGTTTGAGTAACTTCAAGATTGATTTTACGGAGCGATGATTAGGGTTTTGGGATCGGATCGATGATTTATATTTTTCTTTCGAGGCTAAAAATTTGTAGTTTTTTCAACTGGATGAAGCGTATCAAACGGTACTGTTTGTTATAAAATAACTTTCCGATTGCTTTAAATTATTTTTTGTAAAAAACGGGAAAATGTTTAAAGCAGTGGTAGTCCACGAGAAAAATGTGTTTAATTTCAACAAACTCTGGTTATCTTTTTTTTTTCACCACTAATTGTTTTGGTTGACTACAACGTTTTGACGTCAAACCATATGATCCATTGATAAATTATTTGAATTTGAGACCACTGATTTAGAGCAATATCGTGGTGTTTGTAGCTTTTGTGAGTTTCTTCCGTATACACAATAACCACAACAATTGATTTAGACTAATGATTCTAAACAAGGGGGTATACAGACCATCAGATTCGACGTTAGGGGTTAGAGATTGTGTGCTAAGAAAAGATGTTAAGCATGCAGCCAAAACTGGACGATGTTTGGATTAAAAAAAGAAAAGTTTCACTCGTCCCGTAAAGTCCAAAAGTGTACGTGATAACTAATTCGAGTAAATCGTAATCGAATCGCATAATAAGTACCGAGGCACTTACTCAATCGAAACTCTTCGCATTGTATGTTCGGAGAAAACACGGTTCTTATTATTATAAAAAACGTTTGTAAAATAAAATAAAAAATTGGTTTTCTTCGCAAGAATTTACCAAAAGAGAGTCTCCGGTCCAGCTAGTGGTTCCACACGTATCGGTAAACACAGATTGAAACAAATGCGAAATCACGTAGTATCTCATCGCGACGTACTCATAGTCGATGTATGCGTTTATAATATAAATTGAAATCATAAAATTTATGTGTATTATATAATTGTTTTATTTTTTTCTTTCAGATCAAGTCGGTGAAGTCGGGTGGCGTGACGGTGCGATCGGGCGCAGTGAGGATCCTGAACAGCACGTTGGACGAGCTGGCGGCCAACGCGGTGGTGGCCGACGAGGCGCGCGACGTCGTCAGGCTGTCCGGAAACCGGCTGGGCGCAATGGTGGGCAACAGCGTGATCGTGCTGCAGTCGGACGGCGGCGACGTGATCGTGGACGGGAACGCGTTCCGCACGCTGCCCGCCGACATGCAACCGCTCAAGCTGGACCGGTCCGTGGAGTTCCGGGACAACTCGGTGGACAACGTGGACCTGTCGCCGTTCCTGTTCGGGTTGGGCGCCGGGGTGCGCGTGGCCGGCAACCGGTTCGTGTGCGACTGCGACCAGCGGCGCATCAGCGTGCTGAAGATGGACCAGGTGTTCCCAGGGCTACTGTCAGACGCGGACAACCGGATGGACCAGCTGCTGGCCGACAACGGGTGCCAGCAACCGGCCAACACCACGCTGGCCGGCTACAGGGACATGTTGATCGGCCAGACGGTGTGTAAGGGCGCGACTGCGGCGGTCACCGGGCCGTCGTCCACGACGGATCGGCCCGCCCCGACGGCCAACGGCGTCGCAGCCGCCAACCTGTCGATTGCCGCATGGATCGTGGCACTCGCTGTCATCGCCGCATCCTGCCCGCGGTCCAGATGAACTTCCCGCCCGACGGACGACCCCTCACCGTCCTCTGCCCCCTCACCATCCCCTAACTAATTGTAATAATCTTAAGGACATATTTTATGGGCTCGCGGTAATCACGCACGTCCATGTTTGCATACGTCACGTGACTTTTCATCATTATCATCGTCGTCACATCAAAACGTACGCAATTATTATTTATAAGCGTAATTCGTATTCTATTATTATTTTTACTATTGTCCGTCGCGTCCGACCGTCCTTATACTATGACGAACGGACCACGTGCTCTTCTCGTACAACCGTAACAACTATTATTATTCTAATTATTATGCTCGTGTACATTTTAATAATTATTGTACTAAATAACATTATTGTGTACTACTTTTCGATGAATTAAAACGTTTTGTAAATCTTTTTACTTCGCCGTTTCGTCGTTGAACTCCGTTTCCCGTTCAGTCCTACACACGCACGCGTGTCTTGTTGCCTACACACCGACTCCTTACCGTCCAAGACTCGCTACGTCTTCAATTTAAAATCATCGTCAAGACGACAACCGGGATTTTTGTTCATCCCGAATACAAAATGGTGTGTTTCGGTAATAAACTTATACTTCTATCGAAACGCAAGCAGAATGTTTTCAATCGAAAACAGTTCGAACGATAGTAATTGGACGGGCGGTTATTATTATTATCATTATCCAATTATGTGACTGAATAAAAACTGGAATTACCTCTTATAGTTTACATTAAACATTAGCAAACAAGTCGTTAAATATTTAATAGAACGAATAAAAATAAATGTTAATATATTTAATTGTGCTGCAATGCGAATCGAATAACCGTTCCACCGTACTGTTATATTAATGTTATTTATTTTTTCAATCAATACACTTTCCAGCGCTAATTGCATTAAATGTTTTACTAATTAAAACTCTGAGCAAACAATGCGTTGCCGATTAATGATTATTGTTATTTTAACGGCCAAGTGGGACTCGTCTATAATGAATCACAGTATTTTACATTTAGGTGTGTGCGCAGAATGAAATTATTATGAGAATTATGACGGCCGCCGAAGTAGTACTACCGTCGTCGCTCGTTGCATTCGTTGATACATCGTTTTTATTAAATTAATTAAATCTTTCACTATCATGCCGTAAGTCCGCTTTGTTTCAGCTGTCCGGTGTATTGACATCGTCGTGTGTTGGCAGCTCACCGTTTTACAAAATGTCTACTCGAACGTAATACGAATATAATTTTGAATCCCATTAACACCGCACTGGACACTATTGTTTTATCGTTTCCAACGCACTTTTTCCGTGCACATATTCCACAAAAAGTAACACGCGTAATATTATGCAAATTTTGTAGATTTTACTTTTTCTTTTCTTATTCTAGCCGTTTGTGAAGTACCCATTTACATATGTAGTTTTTATTTTTATGTATTTTTATATCGACTACGCTTGCTACGCAAAATAAATTGGCTGATTAAAATTGTAATCGAAGAACTACTGTTTTACAATATTATGCACAAACAAATACTTCAAACGCACACGTTCACTAATATATTTCATTTTATCAGCGTGATTAAAATGTTGAAAACATTAATTTACATCTGTTAGCGAGTAAAAATATACGTAATATATTTTTTCACTACTACTCTAAAATTAAACAGAAATGAATAATACATATTTTCAGACAAACCATATAAATATACGTACTTATTAATATGTAAGCATATATGATATTATGTAATCAATGTAAACAAAAATTGCGTTCCATTAGTATTTACTCGTTTAATTTTATGGTTTAAGAACAACTAAATGTAACGATTACATAAAGGAAAACCAAATTTGCTTTGAGAATGATACTCCAGATGCATATATTATAACTTAAGTTAAACACTCATCTACACATGTTTGTTTACTTTGTTATATTTAGTTTACAAGTAATAGTATTTGATTATTCGTATATGTATTTATTATTCATTTTAAGAAGAATTTCTAAAAACTTTTTCAGAACTTTTTTGTAGCACTAAGTATATATTAAAAAACATCAGGTCAGACCGAACAATATTTTACCATAATAATAATAATAATAATAATAATAATAATAATAATAATAATAATAATATTCATATTTTTTATTTATTCATAAGATAATATTGTTCTTTTTTATCTCTTTTATAAAAATAAATTTAAATTGAATAAAGCTCATTTTAATTACAAATACACTTAAGTTTTATTGTATTATATATATATATATATATATATAAATATATTATTTTTTTTACTATAACTATTAATCAATGATTCACTTTTAGTTTTATGATTATTTTATTTATAAGGGCGAAGGCAAAAGAAAAAAAATATACTTTATTCGAATGTTTTAATTTTTTTCCCCTTGTAAAATGTCAACCAAAAGTTTTTAATATCATTGTATTTTGCAATGAAAATTTTAACAGACGTATTTTTAGCAGAAATATTAACCAAGAAGAATACAAAAGATTCATCCTTCTAAGGGAATACCTGGAAGTTTAATAATATTTGTTTGAAATTCAAAATATATCAACATTGTATATCATATTATTTTACACGAATATAATATATTCGCACAAGAAACCTTATATATTATTTATTTTAATTCGAATTTAATATTTCTTTTGGTAAATTGAATTCTGTGTATTAAACTTATTACTTAAGTTCAAATAACTCAGGATCGCAGATTGATTTAAAATAAAAATAATAACAAATGTATATGTTTGTTTTATTCAATTAACTCAGTAATTTCCATCGTAAAACATCATACAATTTGAGTATAAGTGAAATCGAGAAACAATAATATTGAAATACGTATTAATTTTAACGGAAAAACATAAATCTAAACATAGTTAGGTTAGGTTAGGTTAGGATAACTAGCGTTGTAATAATAATATGTGTTTGTTAAACACGAGCATTTGATGAGTATGGATAATATGAGCATATACGAGTACATTTATGTATTTAATATTTTCTTTTTAGAGTTTCTGAAAGTTATAATATTTACTATTTACTTATTTGTTGTGTGCGTAATTTATTATGTCTATTGCTGATGGTACCAAGTAAAGCAATAATAATTTATTATTTATACTAGCTGTACTTTAACTTTTAACGAGTCATTTTTCTTTGTTTTAATATATTGAGCAAGAGAGAGAGAGAGAGAGAGAGAGAGAGAGACAGAGTGAGATAGTAAATTATTTTCATTAAATTATTAATTATTAACTTTTAAAATTTAAAGCACTATTTGATGTTATATTTATTTTACAAAAATAGTCAAGTCATCAATAGATGTTAAAGGTTTTGTACATGAGTAATAAATCCATCAACTGACTTTCACAAATATGTTCGTAGTATATTCAGTAAATAAATTATCACTGGCACGTTTTAAAATTAGTTTTGGAATGAAATGTTAATATACAAACAAAAAATAAATAAATTACAAGCTTTATGAAAATACTTCTGTAGTGTAAAAAATATACACCTACCTTCCTTTTATCATTAACTAGAATAAATCAAATTATAAAAATTATTTTTACGATACTATAAATATGAATAAATAGACATTCTTAAAAAATATGAAACATTTAGGGAATAGTTGATATCTAATATACTGATAAATGATAATAATTGGAGTATTATTATATTAAATCACACTATATTTTGTAATAATATATACATAATAATATACGATTTAAAGAAAATTCTCTATAACTTTTACCTATATATGTCTGTGACAGAATAAACGTTTAATTTGTTAACATGTGTAGAATATATCTATCAAATTTTTGTTTGGTAGAAAAATTTCAAAATATTGAATTAAATTTGTATACTAGCACCGATACTGAAAGGAACAACTTCTATGTTCAGATACACAGATAACGATAACAGATAAGATAATAATAGTGAAATCATTCGAATATCTTATGACATATGTGCATAGCTAACTAAAAAAATACAATTTATGGAATAAACTTGTAAGGCAGATAGTTGAGGAGTGGCATAGATTGATAAAGAGAATCGATCAAAACGTTTTGGACGTAAATAGAGGTGAGACAGATAAAGTAAGTTGTTATGGGTAGAAGAAGACGAAAAAAGAGATGGCTGAATATGATTGTGAGTGGTATGAGACAACTTTAGTAGTATTATTAGCATATTGACTGGCTGTCAAAAATTTAGATTTATTCATCGAATACGTTTTATTTGCGTTTAAAACCTATATGGCCTCATATTTTAGGATACTTATAAATACTCCTGGTTACCGACCAATTAACGCTTAAGGAATATAATACAAATTGTCTTTATACTTACACATTAAACCACGAATTTGGCATTATAGTTTCTCATTTAAGTCGAAATATTATGCAGGATGTAAACTGCAGATAATATACAACTGATATCTCTCTCTCTACTGTATACAATCTGATGATTGATTTTCAGCAACTTTTATGTTCTGTATCACTAGCTTTTCTCTTCAACTCTTAATATGAACTACGTCCCTGATTTTTTATTATCTGACTTATTTATTACAGTATTAGTCTTCTTCTATGATTTTTTCCATCGATTATTCTTTCTAAGATTAGTAATTGCAGCCCATCATGTCTTAAAATATGACCTGTTAATTCATTTCATCCTTTACGTATACTATTCCGTATTGATTTCCTCTCAGATACCCTTTCTAAAATTTCTTAATTAGTAATTCTATCAGTAAAACTCGTATTTTCCATTCTCCCTGTAGCATCACATATTAAATGCCTCTATTTTCCTAATTTTTTCTCTTGCAATAGTCCATGTTTCACATATCTATAACATGATGTTCCAAATGTACGTTTTTAGTAGATTCTTTCTGATGTTAAGGTCAATGTTTTTTAAAGTAAAAACACTTATTTTCTTATAAAATCTTTATAATTTATTCCATGTATATCCCATTTGAACTTATTGTGCTACTCAAATATACGAGTATAAAATCTCCTATTTGTTCTACAGTTTCACTATACTTTAATCTTATTATTTTTCTTGTGTTAATGTTTTCACTACATAATAAGACTTTCGTCTTCTATGCGTTCATTTTCATATGTAAATCATTTTCTATCACCTATTTCAATGTTCATAAAACCTTTATTAGATATTTTTTATTCTCCGCTATTTTGCAATGTCATCGCGAAACTCAGCATATATATTTTTTAACCATTTACCTTTATTTATAGCTGTGTCTTTTCTTTTATAGTAAAGCTAGCTGAATTACCCGTCGTTGCCGGGTTTAAGTATATAAATGTATGTAACCTGCCAAGATTAAATTTTGTTAAATCTATTGAAATTTAAATTAATTAAGATTTTTGAAATAATATTTTATACATATTAATTTAGTTTTTAAGATAATGATTATT